CGTGGTTTCATCAACGTCTCCACCACTTCGTCTGGCGCCCGTCTTCAACCCAGCTCAGATTACCGTAACCGCGGACGAAAACGAGTCCGACATCGAAATTGCAAAGGTCAGTTAACAAGGCTTACAATTAGTCAAAAAGTCTTTCTTATGACGAAATTCTGCCACTGTCCTTCTGTTTACGGATGCGGGCCTTCCTTCCACCCTTCGAAGTGCCTACCACCTGTCCATTTTGCTACTCTATGTGCGCATTCTGTATAATGCTGGTACACGAACAGGATCTGGTTTAGATGCTATGGAAAAAGATTTATGAATTGTTGTTTAGGACAAAAAATTCTGCTTTCTGAACTTCCCTCTTTCTCTGCTTTGTGTCACTCCCTGCGGATGCTGGGCGTGTCAAGGGGCTGGGTTTGGCGCGGCGCCAGCCCGTTTCCCACTAATTGTTGCTTACTTGCTTCAAGAGTTAGTGGAGAGCGGAACGGCGTCGATGTGGACAAGACTGCTGCCCCCTGTCCTTCGCCTGACGGAAAAGTTCTGGGCAAATGTGGTGAAGAGTTAGAAAAATTAGTAAGGTGGATAAGTTGTGGATGGGGCGCGGTGCTGAGGGGCGGGGGAGAGTTCGGAGAGGAGGTCGTGTCTAGCGAAAAATTTCCACAACGCACGACTGCTGGTAGAAATATTTCGTCGGTTATTGATCTGAGTTGAAATTTTTCGGATCTGTAGGGAACTGCATCTCAATCTATGTAAATAGAAGTGATATTTGTACTTTAGGTACACGCTTCCTATCCTGATGGAGGCACAGGAACCATTTCTTATGTACTGCAAAAGGGTGATCCTACATTATTCGCGTGAGTTTTAAGACACTTTCACTTTTTCAAGAATATAGCGTTGCCTTTGGTGCATATTTCACTTTTCTTTCATCCTTCGAACCTCAAGGACCGAGCTTAGAGTTCGTTGAGTAGACTTTTCATCATATTGCTAGTGGAAGGACAAAGTGTGTTGTAGTGCGATAAGCTTGAAGGCAGTCCCTACGTTCGATATCGTAAGCATCCTTTCTTGTGCAAGTAGTCTTGTCCTCATCTCTGAGACTGTTCCACTTTCGTGGCGTTACAATAAGTAAGGAGGGCTGCAGATCCTATACCATTTTGGTATTTCAAACAGCGCGTGGTAAGCACGCTGAAGGCTTGCCGCTTAGGGCTTTCCACGCCTCCTAAGAGCCGAGGACGCTCACTGAAATTCCGGCAGAAAAAATAATTGCATTGCTAGCCAGGATGTTCTCTCGCTCTATGTCATCTGCTTTCGCCCCGCGCTCAGTGTTCCTTTGCTGTATGCTCACGTTGCTCAAAATCCACTGCAAAGATCAGAACCTTGTTTGGGGCAGAGATTTTATGTTTTTCTTTTAGCTTTTTTCCCTGTGGCAAGCCAATCGAGGCCACGGATTCACAGCCCTACTCAACTATTCAAACTCTAGTCATGGCACAATTAACTCCATCTCCTACAGTACGCTCCCATCCGCATAGCTGATTCCCGATAAGAACTCTACAATCGTACAAGTGATGATTTTCATGCTTTCTCGTCCTGCAGTTTCATTTTTCACCGAACGGGCCTTGGAGGCGTAGTCACTGGAAAAACGGTGGCGTCACTGAACCTATGTTGCGCTGTAAGCGCCCCTCCCTTACGATTTTTCGCCGCACACTACTACCATGCTGTGTTCATCGCGCCGGACCGCACTACCCTCCGTCCACTATATTTTCAGCTTTTAGCCCTGTTTCGCGGACCGATGCGCTCTGACTTGTATCACGCGTATACCCATAGTTGCCTAATTTATACGCGGTGTAATTCGAGGCTCTCGTAGTCACCAGCTGAGCATATGTACCTTATCAATGGTAATTTGCAGTGTATCTTCGTATTCTGGCTCAGTGACATTGCTTCGTCCACTAGATGCTGAGGTCGACACGTCCTACATGCTGCAGATATCTACAGCTGAGGTAAAGTGGAACTCCTGATTCTAGAAGTAGGAATGGAAATGATAGAAGATTTAGACCACACATATCAGGTGAAAGAATCGCACCAGCGTGCGAGAGTAAGAAAAATCAACCGGTTCGAGGCTCTTCCGTTGCGGAAAAAAATTGAAAAATAAACTGAATAATTTCTGGACGGGCTGAACTGCTCTACAGTCCTTTTTGCTGCAGGCGCTAGCGCGTGCCAGGAAGGACAATTGGCGCCAGCTCGTTTTCCGCGAACTGTTGTCGCTTGCCCGTTTTAACAGTTGGTGGGCAACAGGCTAGCGCCGCGCCAAGCCCGGTCCTCAGACACACTCCAGCGTCTGCAGAAACCAGCGTCTATTAGCGTCTGAGTGTCGTCTTTTGACTTATTTCTCAGTCAGTCTCTTTAGGCAGCAGGGTTGGCAGTCGATCCAACAATGGCACACTTCGTCTCGATAACAGTGCACGTGGGAGATGTGAACGACTGGATTCCCAACTTTGAGAGTCCCAATTACAACTTTGTTGTTCAAGAAGATACCATGCCGGGAACGATCATTGGTCAAGTAACCGCGTTTGATCAGGACAAGGAGGTACGTACAGCCGCAGTTGCAGCGCATAGCAATCTGTTCTCATACATGTGATAATCCTGCAGGATCCGAACAATCGAATACGATATCGTTTGGTGAGCGCTGGCGGCCTGGAGAATTATTTCAATGTGAATGGAGACACTGGACTCATCACTCTTGCACTTCAAGTGGACGCATTTGCTGGAGAAAAGATTACGGTAGGCCAATTTGCACAAAGAGTTACACGATTGATTTTCTTTGGGAAGTTTTGCTACTTATAGCAATAGAAGGTGGAAAGATTTAAAGGTACGATCAGGTATATAAGTTGAAAATATGGTGTCGGGAGGGTAATGTGGTCCGCGACGATTGTACCGGTTTCGCATCAAAAAATTGTAAGGGAGGGGCGCTATAGCGCAATATAGGTTCAGTGACGCCACCTTTTCTTCACTGACTCCTCCTAGAGGCTCCGCCTTCAAGGCCCGCTTTCAGTGAAAAAACGAAGCTATCATGTAGGGCGAAAAAGCATGAAAGTCACTTGCACGGTCGTAGAGTTCATATCGGGGAATCAGCTGTGCGGATGAGGGCGTAGTGTTGAAGATGGAGTTAACTGGGCACGTACAAACTGGGATCGGAATGGGGTTCTATCTAGGGCATTGGCATGTTTTTTCTGCTTTTTTCTTCACTGTCGAGTTACTCAGAGCCTCGTCTTCTATGTACAGGGGGGCCCAAAAAAAGACATTTCGACCGAGTCACATATCAGCAAAGTTTTCGCAGCCCAGAGAGAAGACGTGGATACGAGTACCAG